TTCAAAGAATGAAATATTTAAAATGCGAGGAGCATTGATGTGGACAATTAGTGATTTTCCTGGGCTTGGTACATTATCTGGATGGAATATATACACTCAGTTTGCTTACCCCACGAGTAACTTTGATACAGACTCTTGCAGATTGAAGCATAGTAGAAAGTGGTGTTTTATGGGTCATCGTCGCTTTCTTGAAAGAGGTCATCGGTTTAGATTGCAACATGTTCGTTTTAACAGGAAAATCGAGCAACGGGAGACACCAATTGCATTATCAGGGTCAGACATCTTGAAGCAAGTGGAGGGCATTAGTGTCAATTTTGGGAAAGCACCTGTTTTGAATGATAAAGGTAAAAGAGCTCGAAGACAACCGTTAATGAAGATAGATCAAGACAGTGGAGAGAGAGGAGCATATTTTTTTATCTTCCTTACTGGGAAACGAACTTGTTACGTCATAATCTAGACCTTATGCACATTGAAAAGAATGTGTGTGAGAATGTGATATACACTTTACTCAATGATTCTGAAAAATCAAAAGACAATATTAAAGCTAGGAAGGATCTTAGAGAAATGGGTATAAGGAAGGAACTTTGGGCAGATGAGAACGGAAGCTATCTTCCATCTTTGTTTACTATTTTAAATACTAAGAAAGGTGGATTCAAGAAAGATATATTTTTGCGGACCTTAAAGAATATCAAAATGCCTGATGGATATGCGAGCAACATTTCGAGATGTATCGACTTGAAACAATGGAAGCTCTTTAATATGAAGAGTCATGATTTTCACATTCTCATGCAGCACTTGTTACCAATTGCCATACGAAATATTTTACCTGACAAAGTGACTGCAGTGCTAATAGAGTTGAGTTCGTTCTTCCGACAACTCTGTGCCAAAAGCTTATGTCCAGTAGACCTTGATAGGCTTCAATCTCGATATTTTCTCACTATGAATCACTTGGAAATGCTATTCCCTCCAGCATTCTTTACCATCATGGTTCATTTAACTTGTCATCTAGCTGGTGAAGCAAAACTTGGGGGACCGCAACAGTGTCGATGGATGTATCCTGTGGAGAGGTAAGAGATTTCTTATTGCTTAATTGTAGTTTATTCTTTAAGACAAAGATGTTAAATTATAACCATTAACTAACCATTGATCTTTTGTTTAGGTATTTGGGACATTTTAAGTCCTATGTGCGGAACATGTCACAACCAGAAGGTTCTATAGCCGAAGGATACCTAGCTGAAGAGGCTCTCACTTTCTGTTCTCAGTATTTTGAAGGGATTGAGACAAGAATTAATAGGCCTCGTCGTGTTGATGATTATCCGGAGGATAGAGGCTCAACGAATTCATCTAGCATTTTTCCACCGGTTGGTAAAGGAATAGCAACAGAAACATTTGAGTTGTCACCTATAGTGAAACGTGAAGCACATCGATATGTGGTACTAAATTGTCCACAAGTCATGCCGTTCATTGAGTGAGTATTTAATGCAAATCTAAATAAAACTTATATTAAATATGTATAATGATTAATATTTGTATCATCATTTCATGTAGTGAATTTAAAGATCATGTACGAAGGCGCTGGAAGGGTCGAAAGCCTAGTAGTACAGAGATTGAGAAGATAGTTAATAAAGACTTCATTGATTGGTTTCCCCGAAAGGTTTGTTACAAATGTATTAGAATTTTACAAATTTAAAACTATGCCTAACATATATATTTAATTCTTATTTCAGATTTTGAACCCAGACATTTCGAATACTGTATCAGATGACCTAAAGTTTTTAGCAAATGGTCCAGCACCACATGCTAGAAGGTTCACATCATTTAATATCAACGGGTTCAAATTTCGGACTTTAGAGCGAGAGAATGGATTGACAACTCAAAACAGTGGAGTATTTTTGACTTCGTCCACATCTTGTATTGCTAGTGGTGCTAATAGAAACCTGAGGCAAGCAGATTTGCCATATTATGGAAAATTAGAAGACATCATTGAACTTAACTACTAGTGGTCGATTTCGGGTTACACTATTCAAGTGTAAATGGGCTGACACAACTAAGGATAGGGGGTTTAGAACAGATGCATGAGAATTTTCTTCTGTTAATTTTTCACGATTGATTCATATTGGCGATCGTAAAATAACCGCCGTAATAACCACATTTTCTTGTAGTGGCTGTTAAGTTCTTCTAATTAACTAGTCATGAACTCCACTTTAATTCTTTCTTTTTTGTTTTCATGTGTGTGATTGTATATCAAACTAGTATGTTTATCACCTTATTAAATATATTAAAGCAATAAAGATATGAAAATTTTAAAGATTGACATAAAAAGATGCAAAATAATGTAATTATTTTTATTTAACCTAATATTCGTTTGATTGGCGATACAACTAAAGTTGTAAAATTAGACACAAGCAATCGGTTTAAACCAATTTTATCTATCACTTGATTGATATAAACAGAATCAAAATAGAGTAGGGAAGACAATAAAACGAGCAATTAATGCTAAAATAATAGTAATGAAAGAATGTAAGAGATTCTTATAAAGGAATTTTCTATTGCGGGAGAGAGATATTTTTTCTACAATGTAGAGTGAAAGCGCAAAATTCTAAATGAGATTCAATTGTGGGAAGAATGATATTTAAAGGATAACATAATCAAAACTGCCCCTTATATCTCTTATACACACGTTATATGCATTAACTATAGTAAAAGCAAAAATCGTTTGTTACACTTATCTGAGTGTATCTGCTTGATGTGGTTAATTAAGAATCCCGAATAATAATAATAATAATAATCATTTAATAACTTCTACATTTATTAGCATCTTGAAATCAAAAGTATCCCTGTTGTATCTTCCCATAAAAACGGATCTAAATAAGATCAACACATTAATTTAATATGGGCAGCTACGAACACATTAATTATAGTAATGCAACTTTCTCAAAATAACTCGGACGAATTATTTGAATACACTATCAACTTTTGGAATAATTAGTTATTTCATATTTAAGATAGTTTCTGACCGTGCAGGTATAAAATAAACATTAAAGAATTTAAAATCTAAAAAGTTAGTTCTCAAATGCGAACATGGCCCTCCGCAATTGCGAAGTATGTTATGCAAATGCGAACCCCTCAGAGGTTGCAAATGCGATGCCTGATCCCGCAAATGCGATATCAGAGGCCTGCAACAGAACTGAAACACCAGCAACATTTCCTAAGTCAAATTTCACTCCGTAGCCTATCCGAAACTCACACGAGCACTCGAGGCTCTAAACCAAAATGTGCACACAAGTCTAAAAACATCATACGAACTTGCTCGCGCGATCAAATCACCAAAATAACACCTAGAACTACGAATTTAGCACCAAATCAAATAATATACTCAAGAAAACATTCAAATTTATATTTTCGCCCTGAACGTTTGAATCACGTTAAACGAACTCCGTTTCTCACCAAATTTCACAGACAAGTCATAAATATGGTAATGGACCTATACTGAGTTCCGAAACCAAAATACGGACCTTATATCCAAAAAGTCAAACCTCGGTCAAACATGTCAAATTATCTTTAAGCCTTTAACTTTCAAATTTCGACAAAGCCCGATATCTCGGGCTAGGGACTTTCGAATTTAATTTCGGGCATACGCCCAAGTTCCAAATTACAATACACACCCACTGGGACCATCAAAACATGAATCCGGGTATGTTTACCAAAAATGTTGACCGAAGTAAACTCAAATGAAGTTTGTACGTAAAAATTCTTATTTTTATCAACTTTTAACATAAAAGCTTTCCGAAAACACGCCTGGACTGCGCAAGCAAATCGAGGAGGGACAAAATGTTTAAAGCTTAAAAGAGCACAATTGGGTTCTAAATTTTAAGATTACCTTTCGGGTCACCACATGACAATTTCGCTTTCTTACTTATATATTATGACTTTGTTGATGACTTAATAATCTACTTTTATAATTATTGTTGAGGTTAGATTGCCTAGCAAGCAAGTTAGGCCTCATTACGATCTTTGGTGGGTTCTCAGGTGAAATTACGCAGGGCCTATAGCTACTATTTGGTCTAGTGGTTGCACCTATGAGGGCTTATGTGTGAATGTTTGACGTGTTTAATGGATATTAAATTGTTATACCTGATATGATTTGTTATAGATATATGCACTGCATTGTAAACTATCATGCACGTGATTTTAAAGATTCTCTCCAAAAGGTATGATAGGGGTGGATCAGTTATCTTTTGGGTCCTTATGGCACCACATTTACTGTGTTGTGCATATCCATCTACTAATGCTGTTGGGGGACATTCTTGATCCTAGTTCAAAGTCTTGTTTCAGTTTCGGAAGTGAGCCAATCATATTCTATTCGTGGTGGCTGTTCATTTCATTTATGTATGTTTTATTTTCAGGGTTGCGTTCATGAATACTATAATTAGAGTTTACTTAGATACTATTTTGTGGGTTATGGTTTGGATTCAAATTTTCTATCGTACTTAGGCTTTCAATATAATGTGTTTGAGAGGTTATGCCTTTTTTCTATGAGATGGTACTATTTTTGGATTATGAGCTCGTGCTAAGATAACAATTGGAAATGAACGCTTAAGGGTAGTGGCTCACTGGATGCTAACACGACTTATGAATTTGGATTGTGACAATATACTATGAAGCGTACATACATGAAATAGTTAAATTTCATATTGAAAAATTAGTAAAATTTTCTTTACTATCGTATTGTATGTTTCATTGTTCATATCTTCTAAAGTGGACATAAATTTGAATTAAAATTCTTAAAATCAATAGAGAACACGATCAACTTTTTAAATACTCAACAAAATAGTTTGAGAATTTCCCATGGAATGTGATTTGCCTTGAAAGTCACATAAGGTTGTATTTAATTTTTATTGAGAACTCAATATTTCTACGTTTTATTTTAGAGGGATTTCTAAAACATCCAAACCAAGAAATAGAAATTTCTACATTGAAGGTTGAAATAGAAGGTCGCATTCCATAAAGTTGAAGCATGAATTATTATAAATAAATAAAAACTAAAAACAAACATAAATTACATATGCATAATTTTATTAATAAGGTAAATGCATGATGAATCATACAATTTCTTACCCAGCCAACTTTTGTAGTGGCGTTTATTGTAATTTTGAAATAACGAGTTGTTCACTTGACTTTCTTTATTATACATGTAAATTATGGAAAACAAGCAAATGAAGGAAACATTAAACAACACAGAAACCCAACTGCATAATGGAGACGTGTAGAAGAGCTTGTCTCCGCTGCATACTAATCAAGCTGTCAGACACAGAGGGCCACCAAGTGTAATAGAGAATCCACAAGCGCAACAAACCCAACAATCGTTGCAATCCAAGCTAGAAGTACAAGATCTAAAACAAGTGTTGAGTTGTGGGAGTAATCTCTTCCTCATTCCTGAGAGATTATGATCAACATCCAGTACAGCTTCGACTTTTGTGTTCGTCAAAAGGGGCACATTTGCTAAATATATTCAACATTATAATAATTAATTTTTTTTACTAATATAACAGAAATGACACACATATAAGCGTTATTCAGCGAATCATATGCATGTCCATGCTTTAATATGAAACATGTGCACAGTGACGTGTATATATATATATATATATATATATATATATATATATATATATATATATATTAGTCTTAGGGTACGCGCTTTGCGCGTGTACCCATATTATTGAATAAATAATTTTAAGAATATTGTAAATATTATCAAATAATATATTTTACTTATAAAATTAAAATTAGAGAAAAATNGTTTCAACTAATAGCTAGACCATTAGCTAAGTCGAGGACTAAAAACGCCCCCTTTTTTAGTGTGGGGACATGCATTTTGCATGCAGCAGCACTTGTGCGCATAAAGCCAACCAGTTATCATAAACGTCTCCCCATTACATAGGCTTTTGGTCAGGAGCCAAATATTTCCCATCTAAGAATATTTGGATGTGCGGTATATGTTCCGATTGCTCCACCACAACGCACAAAGATGGGCCCCCAAAGAAGGTTGGGAGTATATGTTGGTTATGAATCTCCTTCTATTATCAAATATTTTGAGCCTATGACAGGAGATTTGTTTACAGCCAGATTTGCTGATTGTCATTTTGATGAATCAGTTTTTCCAACATTAGGGGGAGAAAATAAACAGCTAGAAAAAGAGATAGATTGGAACGTATTATCTCTATCTCATTTGGATCCTCGTACAAATCAATGTGAACAAGAAGTTCAAAAGATCATTTATATGCAAAATATTACAAATCAATTGCCAGATGCATTTACTAACCTTCCACGGGTTACTAAATCGCATATTCCAGCTGTAAATGCTCCAAATCGACTTGATGTCCCAGCTGGACAGTATGATGATGCAAATGAGTCTAGGCCACGCCTTAAACGTGGTAGACCAATTGGTTCCAAGGATAAGAACCCCCGAAAAAGGAAAGGAGCAAATGATCAAGTTAATCATAACATGGAGGCAATTGCTCAAGAGGAACATAAGGACATAGCAATTGATAAGACCTCACAGGAGGTTCTAGTACCTGGAAATGATAAAAATGAAGAGATCTCAATAAGTTATGTCTCTACAGGAAAAAGGTGGAACCGAAATAACGTTGTGGTTAATAACAATTTTACATATAATGTTGCAATTGAAATAATGCAACAAGATGAGGATCTTGAGCCAAAATCTGTCGATGAATGTAGACAGAGAAATGATTGGCCAAAATGGATAAATGCAATTCAAGCAGAATTGGCTTCACTCGAAAAACGTGAAGTTTTCGGACCAATAGTCCGAACGCCTGAAGGTGTCAAGCCAGTGGGGTACAAATGGGTTTTTGTGCGAAAACGAAATGAGAAAGGTGAAGTCGTAAGATATAAAGCACGACTTGTGGCACAAGGGTTTTCGCAAAGGCCTGGCATTGATTATATGGAGACATATTCTCCTGTGGTAGATGCAATTACCTTCAGGTATCTAATAAATCTGGCAGTCCATGAAAAGCTTGATATGCGATTGATGGATGTTGTCACAGCCTACTTATATGGCTCACTGGATAATAAAATTTTAATGAAAATCCCTGAAGGATTTAAAGTTCCTGAAGCACATAAAAGTTCAAGAGAAACTTGTTCAATAAAGCTTCAGAAATCCTTATACGGATTGAAGCAATCAGGGAGGATGTGGTACAATCGCCTTAGCGAGTATTTGCTAAAGGAAGGGTACAAAAATGACCCTATTTGCCCTTGTGTCTTTATTAAGAGGTCTGGATCTGAATTTGTCATCATAGCTGTGTATGTTGATGACTTGAATATCATTGGCACTTCTAAAGAGCTTCCAAAGGCTATAGAGTGTTTGAAGAAAGAGTTTGAAATGAAAGATCTCGGTAAGACAAAATTTTGTCTTGGCCTACAAATTGAGCATGTACCAAATGGAATTTTTGTCCATCAATCAACATATACTGAAAAGGTTTTAAAGCGATTTTACATGGATAATGCACATCCATTGAGTACCCCAATGGTTGTGAGATCGCTTGATATAAATAAAGATCCATTTCGGCCTCAAGAAAATGATGAAGAGCTCGTTGGTGATGAAACTCCATATCTTAGTGCAATTGGGGCACTGATGTATCTTGCCAACAATACTCGACCAGATATTGCTTTTGTAGTGAGCTTATTAGCAAGATTCAGCTCCTCCCCAACAAGAAGACATTGGAATGGTGTTAAGCATATATTTAGATATCTTCGGGGAACCATAGATATGGGATTGTTTTATTCTAATGAATTCAAGTCAGAAATGATTGGCTATGCCGATGCAGGTTATTTGTCTGATCCACATAAAGCCCGATCTCAAACAGGCTATTTGTTTACATATGGAGGTACTGCTATATCATGGCGTTCAATGAAACAACAATAGCTGCCACATCTTCAAATCATGCTGAGATAATAGCCATTCATGAAGCTAGTCGGGAATGTGTTTGGTTAAGATCAATGACTCAGCATATTCAGGAAATGTGTGGTTTTCTTATGAAAAAGGATAATCCAACAATACTATATGAAGACAATGTTGCTTGTATTGCTCAACTGAAAGGAGGATACATCAAAGGAGACAGAACAAAGCATATTTCACCAAAGTTCTTTTTCACGCATGATCTTCAACAAAATGGTAAAATTAATGTTCAACAGATTCGTTCATGTAAAAATTTGGACTGATCTGTTCACTAAGGCTTTACCAACCTCAACATTTGAGAAGTTGAGACAGAAGATTGGAATGCGACGTCTTCGAGAATAAAGTGATATTTTCATGAGGGGGAGTAAGATACGCGCTGTACTCTTTTTCCCTTAGCCTAGGTTTTGTCCCACTGGGTTTTACTGGTAAGGTTTTTAACGAGGCAGCAAATAAAGCGTATTAGAGATATGTGTACTCTTTTCCTTCACTAAGATTTTTTCCCACAGGGTTTTTTCTTAGTAAGGTTTTAACGAGGCATATTATCTATTTTTTTGGACATCCAAGGGGGAGTGTTACAAAATATTTAGTAAATGTGGATGTCCACTACTCCCACTACTTTCACCCATGATGTAAATTACCTCCCACTACTCATCACCATTATGATTGTAACTCTCACACCTCCATAACCCCTCCCCATGATCTTCCCCCATGATCTCAATTGTGAATGCCATGTTTAAGACAATGATTTTGTAACCTTCATATGTAATAATATAAATAGAGGCATGAAATGTGAGATGGAATACACTTGAACACTTGATGAAATAAGAAAGTTATCTCTTCTTCTCTTATTCTACTTATCTTCTTATTTTATATTGTTACTTTGAGCTACATTTTTTAACAATAATTATAATTTTGCTTAACACTTGTTTGTACTAATTGTAATTAAAGAATATTAATTGTTTGAGCTTCTTGTTCTTTTTCTTACTTTTGTAAAAGTATATATAGATATAAAAGATTATTTGAAAGTTGAATATTTTTATACTAAAATTAGGACATAAAAAATGATACTTCATTGGCGAACGAAGCAATCTACTTCCTATTTTAAGTCGTAAGTTTTCTTTTTCTCAAAAAAGGAAATTTTGTTTAGTTTTCTCATGTTTATAGCAGACGTTAGGCTTCATTATACAGAAGTTTAGACATGGAATTTTTAGTATGTAAAATTTTACTTGATTTAGAATTTCTAAATATTAGGAAAATAATGTACAAAATTTAGTTGATTTAGAATTCCTAATCATTAGAAAATTTATTAAATGACTATTTTGTCTAGTGTGAAATCTATTTTGAAAGGGTAAAAAAGGCGAACGATATTTCGCTAAGGGCCTTCGTGCTTTTAATATAGTATAGATATATATATATAGTCAAAAATCTAAATAATATGTAATTATAATTTAGAGTTAAACTTAAGTGGTACTTACCAGTTGCCACCATAATGAGAATAGCGAGAACAAAAGAATGCTTTAGCAACATCATTGGAATAGTAGTTCACACTTATGAATGTTTTGGAGTGGCTAAGTACTTCTAAAATGTCGTAATTTGTAGACCTCCTTGAAGTCAAACTACATCTCTTGCATGTGCCATAGTTGCTTTATTTTTTGCTTTTCTAGATTATTTATTATCTTGCTTTAATGTTAACTTCAAGCATGTGCTGACCTCCCATTATAGAATTGGATATTGAAGAAGTATTATAGAGTTAAAGTAATTCCAACTTGCCCTCTATTAATGATAGCAAGTTGGTCTGATTTGAGATCCATTATTTACGTAAATGCATGTGGCAATCAAAGACCAGTAAAATCCAGAATATTATGAATATTCATCTATCTACTAAAATATTCTAATATATATACTGAGCATAGTTCAATTTTTTTTTGGTTGAGACCATGCACATATTTATTAATAATGTACATGCATACTCATGTTAGTATTTCAATTGAATATTAAATTCTTCCAATAAATTAGTGAACTCCACTTTAATTCTTTCTCTTTCGTTTTCATGTGTATGATTGTATATCAAACTAATAAGTTTATTGCCTTATTAGATATATTAAAGCAATAAACATTTGAAAATTTTAAAGATTGACATAAAAAGATGTAAAATAATACAATTATTTTTATTTAACCAAATATTCATTTGATTATATTGGCGATACAACTAAAGTTATGAAATAAGGCACAAGCAATCGGTTTAAACCTTCGTTGATAAAAGCAGAATTAAAATAGAGCAGAGAAGACAACAAATCGAGCAATTTATGCTAAAATAATAGTAAAGAAAAATGGAAGAGATTCTTATAAAGGAATTTTCTATAGCTGATGAACAACAGTAATAACGGAAGAGAGGAATAAATTTAGTCTTCAGTCTTCAAACAAGTAAATCTGGAAGACTTGGCACTAACTAGAAAATTAAAAAGAAATACTTGTCACGAGTTAACTTTCGAGTCGGCCACGCGTCGTGTGCACTTTTTACCAATACAGTTGCCAAAAAATGAGCTCAATAATTTATAGTAATTTACAGTAATTTAATTGGACCCCCTTTCCCACCCTATTTAAAGTCTTTTATCTTTATCTTCCTCCTTTTAGAATAAAATTTAAGTTAATGTATTAATCACCTGCATTTCTAGAACGTATACAGGGTGATATATGTGGGCCTATACACCCTCCATGTGGACCATTCAAGTATTTTATGGTCTTGATAGACGCATCTACAAGATGGTCACATGTGTGCTTATTGTCAACTCATAATATGGCATTTGCGAGATTGTTGGCCCAAATAATAAGGTTAAGAGCACAATTTCCAGATTATACAATTAAGACAATTCGTTTTGATAATGCTGGTGAATTTACATCTCAGGCCTTTACAGATTATTGTATGGCCACTGGAATAAAAGTTGAGCATCCGGTCGCTCATGTTCATACTCAAAATGGTCTAGCAGAATCATTGGTTAAACGATTTCAACTAATAGCTAGACCATTGCTAATGAGGACAAAACTCCCCCTTTTAGTGTGGGGACATGCTATTTTGCATGCAGCAGCACTTGTGCGCATAAAGCCAACCAGTTATCATAAAGTCTCCCCATTACAATAGGCTTTTGGTCAGGAGCCAAATATTTCCCATCTAAGAATATTTGGATGTGCGGTATATGTTCCGATTGCTCCACCACAACGCACAAAGATGGGCCCCCAAAGAAGGTTGGGAGTATATGTTGGTTATGAATCTCCTTCTATTATCAAATATTTTGAGCCTATGACAGGAGATTTGTTTACAGCCAGATTTGCTGATTGTCATTTTGATGAATCAGTTTTTCCAACATTAGGGGGAGAAAATAAACAGCTAGAAAAAGAGATAGATTGGAACGTATTATCTCTATCTCATTTGGATCCTCGTACAAATCAATGTGAACAAGAAGTTCAAAAGATCATTTATATGCAAAATATTACAAATCAATTGCCAGATGCATTTACTAACCTTCCACGGGTTACTAAATCGCATATTCCAGCTGTAAATGCTCCAAATCGACTTGATGTCCCAGCTGGACAGTATGATGATGCAAATGAGTCTAGGCCACGCCTTAAACGTGGTAGACCAATTGGTTCCAAGGATAAGAACCCCCGAAAAAGGAAAGGAGCAAATGATCAAGTTAATCATAACATGGAGGCAATTGCTCAAGAGGAACATAAGGACATAGCAATTGATAAGACCTCACAGGAAGTTCTAGTACCTGGAAATGATGAAAATGAAGAGATCTCAATAAGTTATGTCTCTACAGGAAAAAGGTGGAACCGAAATAATATTGTTGTTAACAACAATTTTGCATATAATGTTGCAGTTGAAATAATGCAACAAGATGAGGATCTTGAGCCAAAATCTGTCGATGAATGTAGACAGAGAAATGATTGGCCAAAATGGAAAAACGCAATTCAAACGGAATTGGCTTCACTCGAAAAACGTGAAGTTTTCGGACCAATAGTCCGAACACCTGAAGGTGTCAAGCNAGTTTATTGCCTTATTAGATATATTAAAGCAATAAACATTTGAAAATTTTAAAGATTGACATAAAAAGATGTAAAATAATACAATTATTTTTATTTAACCAAATATTCATTTGATTATATTGGCGATACAACTAAAGTTATGAAATAAGGCACAAGCAATCGGTTTAAACCTTCGTTGATAAAAGCAGAATTAAAATAGAGCAGAGAAGACAACAAATCGAGCAATTTATGCTAAAATAATAGTAAAGAAAAATGGAAGAGATTCTTATAAAGGAATTTTCTATAGCTGATGAACAACAGTAATAACGGAGGAGAGGAATAAATTTAGTCTTCAGTCTTCAAACAAGTAAATCTGGAAGACTTGGCACTAACTAGAAAATTAAAAAGAAATACTTGTCACGAGTTAACTTTCGAGTCGGCCACGCGTCGTGTGCACTTTTTACCAATACAGTTGCCAAAAAATGAGCTCAATAATTTATAGTAATTTACAGTAATTTAATTGGACCCCCTTTCCCACCCTATTTAAAGTCTTTTATCTTTATCTTCCTCCTTTTAGAATAAAATTTAAGTTAATGTATTAATCACTTATTGTCGAAGCAATAATCACAATAATAATAATAATAATAATAATAATAATAATAATAATTTAGTGATTAGTTCATTTATTAGAATCTTGAAATCAAAAGTACCGCATTGTATCTTCCCACAAAAATAGATCTAAATAAGGTCAACTCATTAATTTAATATGAGAAGCAGCGAAGCACATTAATTATATTAATGCTTCTTTATCAAATTGACTCAGACAAATTATTTTTAAACACTATCAGCTTTTGGAATAATTAGTTATTTCATAGTTAAGATAGTTTCAGGCCATGCAGCTATAAAATAAACATTAAGGAGTTTAGAATTTTAAAAAGGTATATAAGTTGTAGCAACATGACCGATCGTTCTGAGCTTTAGCATTCCATTTGGTGGTTTAAGGTCTTGAGAAGCTTCATATTAAGTACTATGACTTGCGTGAATGGTCGGTTTCGATTTTTCTGGCGATTCAGGTTTGATTTGAAAGAATGATCATTATTTTAGAGTCTTATGTGGTAAGAGTTGACAAATTTGGACTTTTGTATAGACGACTCCAGAATGTTGTTTTGATGATTCCAATAGCTTCGTATGATAATTTTGGACTTGGGAGTATGCCCGGATTTGGATTTGGACATCCGTGGGGCGATTTGTTGCCTTATGGAGAAAGCTGGAAAGTTAAAGGTTTGGAAGGTTGAGAGGTTTCATCGGGAGTTGACTTTGATATTATTGGGTCCGGATTGTTATTTCAGAAGTGGGAATAGGTTCGTTATGTCATTTGGAGCTTGTGTGCAAAATTTGATGTTATTCCGAGTTGATTGATGAGATTCGGCATGAGTTTTAGAAGTTGAAAGTTTAAAAGTTTGTCAAGATTGATTCGAGCTGCGATTCGTCGTTTCGATGTTGTTATGTGTAATTTGAGGCCTTGAGTAGCTCAGTGTTGTGTATTATCACTTGTTAGTATGTTCGGACAGGGTTTCGAGGGGCTCGGGTGAGTTGCAAACGTGTTTCAGATCATTTTTCATTCATCTGTGGTGGCTTGTCTTTGCTGAATCTGGTGTCGCACCTACGGAGTTGTGGACACAGGTGCGATAACCGCAGATGCGGTCACGTGGGTGCAGAAGAGAAACATGGCAGGATGAGAGAAGACCCCAGAAGTGGAATGATGGGCGCATATGCACGTCCGTAGAAGCGGAATACTGATCGCAGAAGCGGATGGCTGCTTGGTTGGGAGTTTACGCAGAAGCGAGATTTCGAGCGCATCTGCGGCGGCGCATATGCTGTGACTTGGAGCATAGAAGCGAAAGGAGCGGAAAAGCATTGGTTGATGTCACTCCTGCGATTGTGCAGAAGCATGACTTTGTTCGGAGGTGCAAATGGGTGGGTTCTCAGTGGTTTCCACGGAAGTGGGCTAATTATCACCGAAGCGACTTTTTTGTTCGCAAATGATAAAGAGTTGTGCAGAAGTTATAAATCGAGGTTCTTGTTCATTTTAACAAATTTTAAGTTGGGAACCTCAGATTTGGGCGATTTTGGAGGGAATTTTTACGTTTTGGATTGCGGTAAGTATTCTTACCTCGGATTTGGTTATATTTCATGATTCCATCATTGTTTTTATCATTTAATTAGTGATTTGAGTTCGGAGGAATTGGGGATTTTAGTAAAAACTTTCTAAAATATAAAATAATAATTTGAAGGCCGATTTGATGTCGGAATTGGATAATTTTTGTATGGTTGAACTCGTATAGGAAGGGATGTTCCGATTTTGTTGGTTTTGTCGGGTTCTAAGGTGCGGGTCCGAGGTTGACTTTTTGGGTTGACTTGTTGGTTTTAATTAAAGATCGAAGCTTTATTATCCGAAATTATTTCCTATGGCCTTTATTTATGATATTAAGTTATTTTGGCTAGATTCGAACCGTCCGGAGCTTTTTTTTGAATGATAACGAAGCATATCTTGATACTAGTAAACCGGTGAAGTGTTACATTCAGCTACGTAGTCCCTAAGGACATTTATATTGTTTATAGCTATTAGGCTATTACAAACCGAGGAACTTAAGAGTTTTGTTCCAA